CTTCCCCTCAGAACTCCCCTTTCAGGCCTCCTTCCAGTCCCCACAAAAAAGGAGTGACTTGGACTGTGATTGCCCTTCTAGACGGGAAAACTGAAGCGATACTTCACGGACCTGGAGGCCTTGGCCATGGTCACTGCTGCCTTCTGCCATGACATTGACCACAGAGGCACCAACAACCTCTACCAGATGAAGTGAGTCACCCCCCTCCCTTTCCCCAACCCTCGGGATTCACTACTCAGCTCTGCGTGGCTCCCAGACAGACTCGCTGGCTGAGGGGGAGGTCTCGCTGCCCACAAATTCCCACTTGCTTCTGCCCTTGGGATCTGGGTCCACTCCTGTGGTAGACAGAATAATGACTTCCCAAAGATAACCACATTCCATACCCCAGAGTCTGAGAATATGTTGCCTTACATTGAAAAAGGAGTTGGGGCTGACACAGTGGCTCATGCCAGTAACCTCAGCACTTTAGGAGGCTGAGGCAGGAGGATCATTTGAGGCCAGGTGTTTGAGACTAGCCTGGGCAACATAGTGAGACCCTGTCTATACAAAAAATTTAAAAAATAGCCAGACATGCTGGTATGTGCCTACAGTCCTAGCTACTCGGGAGGCTGAGGCAAGAGCATCACTTGAGCCCAGGAGTTTGAGGTTGCTGTGAGCTACAATGACGCAACAGAGCAAGACCCTGTCTCAAAACAAAAACAAAAACAAAACAAACAAACAAAAGGGACTTTGCAGACCTGAGAGACATGATTGTTAAGGATCTTGATACAGGGATTATCTGGATGGGCCCCATGTAGGAGGAAGGGTCCTTATCAGAAGGAGGCAAGAGGTCAGAGGAGAGAAGACGCTGCCCTACTGGCTTTGAGGATGCAGGAAAGGACTGCAAGCAAGGAACACAGGTGGCCTCCAGATGCTAGAAAAAGCAAGAAAACAGATTCTGCCCTAGAGCCTGCAGAAGGAAAGCAGCCCTGTGGACCCATTTTAGACCTCTGAACTCCAGAGCAATAAGAAAATAAGTTTTTATTGTTTAAAGCCATTAAATTTGTGGCAGTTTGTTACAGCAGCAACGGGAAACTAATGCATTAAACTCTTTCATCCTCCTCCTTCCCTGTCCTACCTGCTGAGCTAATTGGAGCCCAGATACAATCCTCATGACACCCTGTGGGCTGGGCAGAGCAGGGACTAGTGCCATCCCCATATAACAGATGAGGAAACAGACTGTGCCCAGAGCCGAGACATTAGAAAGCACTACAATTTGTGCTTCTCTGAGTCTTCTCAGAGAAGACTTTTCCATGTTGCTCTGAGGCTAGAGACTGTGTTTACATTTCATATTGTGGGAATCTAAGTCCTGGACATGGTGCTTGGCACATAATAAGTGCCCAACAAATATTTATTGAATAAAGAAATGAGTGAACACATTGCTTATGGGAATTCAATGACTTCCCCCAGGACTCAGGTATAGAGGATCAGGGGATCGATGGTCTCCAAAGTGCCAATGTCCCTAAAATTGCACGTGGCATTGTGTGTGTTTGTGCCTTTTTCTGGGGATAAGGGTCTACACTGTCCAGCAGATTCTCTAGGGAGTCTGAGACTCAAAAGTGGCTCAGAATTGCTTGTGCAGAAAGCTAAAGCCTGTGAGCCAGCAACCATGATGTTCAGTCCTAATTTTCTGTTACCCATTCCATACTGATTTGTTCTCTCCCTCACTCTCTCCCTCCCTCATTCAGATCTCAGAACCCGCTAGCCAAGCTCCATGGTTCCTCCATCTTGGAAAGACACCACTTGGAGTTCGGCAAAACGCTGCTCAGAGAAGAGGTAGGACAAGGGCCCTCTGCACTGGCGTTGGGGCCCAGACCGGAGACCCCATCTCACAGGTAGCCTGAGTGTGCCCAGGCAGCATTTGTTCCATTGGCCTGGCTGCCCCTACCACCATCTGGGTGGCCACTGGTCATTAAGTGACTACCGCCACCATCCCTTCTCCCATCTCTCTTCTGTTTTTTTCTTTAGAACCTGAATATCTTTCAAAACCTCAATCGCCGACAACATGAGCATGCCATCCACATGATGGACATCGCGATCATTGCCACCGACCTCGCCTTGTATTTCAAGTTGGTATTTCTTCATTTTAATCCTAATAATCATTTGACAATGATTATAATAATAACGAACAGCAGAGTTCCAATTGATTTCGTATTTACTATGTGCCAGGCACAACACTTGTGCCATGGACACACTGACTCCCTATAACCCTGTGAGTTAAATATTATTACCCCACTGTACAGATGGGAAAACTGATATTCAGGGGAAAAGATTTGCTAAGATCAGAAAACAAATCAGTGGCAGAGTCAGGGTTAGAATATAGGTCTTCACTGTCAGGCCTTGGTTTTTTTTAACTTTGTTTTGTGAATTACGTTGATTCAATAAGCCTCCATCTGAATCAGCCAGCGTTAGAAGCCCAGGGCTTGCCTCATTCTCAGACTTGCTCCCTTAGCTGGTCTGAGTGCAGTGGTGTTTAAAACTAATTCATCACAACCAGTCACAGATTTCCTTGTTCCTTCTCCACTCCTACTGCTTTACTTGACTAGCCTTAAAAAAAAGAATAAGCATTGCTCTCTGTAACGAACTGGTGTGTTTTGTAGGAAGAGGACAATGTTCCAAAAGATCGTGGATCAGTCTAAGACGTACGAGAGTGAACAGGAGTGGACGCAGTACATGATGCTGGAGCAGACACGGAAGGAAATCGTTATGTGAGTTGAGACAGGGATTAAACCCTGATCCACTTACGCCAGGGGTCAGGAGGTGAGACGCTACACTGACAGCTCTTGCTGACCCCGACAAGCCCCGGGATCTTGCCAATTTGGAGGTCTCCAACATATGAAAAACTGAAGTTATACCAAAACTAAATTCTACAAGTTACGACATGTTCAATCTTTATTTTAGCACTGGAAATATAAAACACTATATTATTGTTTTATTTCTCTGCACACAAAAAATATATTATTTGAAGTATTTCAATCATAAAATAGAACTTTCAAGTTTTTTGGGTTTTTTTTGTAGAGACAGAGTCTTGCTATGTTGCCCAGGCTGGTCTTGAATTCCTGGGCTCAAGCGATCCTCCTGCTTCAGCCTCCTCAGTAGCTGGGACTACAGGCTCCTGCCACCACGCCCCGATAATTATTTCTATTTTTTTGGTAGCGACGGAATCTCACCCTTGCTCAGGCTGGTCTTGAACTCCTGACCCCAAACAATCCTCCCACCATGGCCTCCCAGAGTGCTAGGATTACAGGCATGAGCCACCGCACCCAGCCCAAAAAGTGGATTTTATACCAGTGGAGAAAGGTGTAAATTCATGAATGCGTTGGGACAACGGGATGGCCACAAAGATTCATATCTCACTCCTTACAACAAAATAAATTCTACATGAATCAAAACTTTTAAAATAATGAGGGGGCTGGACTTGGTGGCTCACACCTGTATTCCTAGAACTTTGGGAGGCAGAGGCAGAGGATTGCTTGAGGCCAGGAGATCGAGACCAGCCTGAGCAAGAAGTAAGAAATATAACACCGGAAAAATATATTAAAATTAATAGTGTTTTAATTTACCTAACCCATTCTGAGTATCTTGGGTTGGCCAAAGTGCTCCTGAGAAAGTGTCAGAGATGTGATTAATAGTCGTAGAAATCTTGGCTAAATCTCTATGGCATGTTTCCCAGAAAGTGAGGAAGTGAATGATTCTAATGTTTGCTTTCAACAAAATTGAAGGATCATCTATTATAATTGAATCATCAGCTGATAGATAACGCAGAAAAATGATTACAGTATTTTTTTCTTTTCTTTTTTTTAATTCTTTCTCTCTCTCTCTTTTCCCCCCTTTACACGGTATGATTTTTAACAGTTAACTTGGGAGAATGCAAAGAATTGAGTGACAGTGTTGTAATAAAACTATTTGCATTGCCAGGGTTTCTAACTACTTGAATTTACAAAAATGAAAAATGGGCATAAAAGAGATGCTGGATCCTATGTGTCTAGCAATAAGAAATATTCAATTCATTCATTAACTGGTTTTTAAAAAATAATCCCAGCTCATCTCATTAAGAGACGAATTTCCAAAAAGTTACCTTGAGTGTTTAATAATTGTTTATAAAAATAGGTAATGTATTTTATGGTTTGGTTAGTTGTGTAATAACAACTTAATCCAAAAGAAAATTTTCAACATTTAGTGGCTTATGGTCAAAGAAATTTTTTTTTTTTTTTGAGAGATGGTGTCCCTCTGTTCCCTGCGCTACAGTGCAGTGGTGTCCTCATAGCTCACTGCAACCTCCAAGGCCTGGGCTCAGGCGATCCTCTCACCTGAGACTCCTGAGTAGCTGGGACTACAGATGCTCCATCATGCCTGGCTAATTTTAAAATTTTTTGTAGAAACAGGGTCTTGCTATGTGGCTCAGGCTGGTCTCGAACTCCTGGCCTCAAGTGATCCTCCTGCCTCGGCCCCACAAAATGCTGGGATTACAGATATGAGCCACCACACTTGGCCTATAATTTCAATTAATGGATATATTTAGTTGCAGGAAATTATGAAAGTATGATCAGTGAAAGACTTTCTATCATATATACAGTATATACACACACACATATAATACACAGACACACATATGTACATATATACCCACATACACACACATATAATATTAGGATAAAATTCTATGGGGGGAGCCAAGTGGAAATATAAGTTTATAGAGAAAAGGAGAGATGTAAAATTCCAGATTCTTAAAGAAAAGATGGTTTCGTGTGTTTTTACCATGGATGATTGGCTGATGGTAGGCATCAAATTGCTATGCTATTTAGATTCCTTTGTATTTAAAGAATGATGTAACAATTTTATTTAAAAAGTCAATATTTATAATGTGCTATAAAT